TAGCATTTATAAAACTGCTGGTTAAAAGATAAAAGTGAGATAACAGACATCAATTTTTCACTATAAATCTCTGGGTTTACTACAACATTAAAATTTCCAGTAAAAGCAGGGTTTTATATACCTGAACTCTAATGGCCTATTCTGAAAATATTTATGTCAGGAAAAGCATGGTATTTGCATGCCAAAAGCAATTTTAGTGCCAATGTTTAGCATTCCCTTCCCATTTAACTCCTTCCAATCTACTTGCAAGTGGGAGATGCTCTTTCAGTCCTACCCCATGCACCTTCCCATGCAGAGCTCCAGAGGAGGGAACTCCAGGTGCATACTAAGGCTAAGTTGAACACTTCTGATAAAATACCACTGCATGAAATACTTGTGCGATGGCTTAGGGTGGAGTCTGCAGCGTGGTCTAAACCACTGATGGCACCTCCATGGTTTGCATGCAGAACTATTCATTTCAAAGAGGATAACTGCCTAACCGAATTGAAAGACGGGGACAGAGGGACAGGAAATTAGGCAACACTGTGCAACAGCTCAGAAGTAACGGGTCAAAACCCTCTTTAATTACATGATGTTTCTGTAAGTTTGGCTAACTTCTTATTTGTTTTATTCCAACATTATTATCAGAGTGTGATCCCGGAAGAGCCAAGTGCCTCAGCAACCACGGGCTTCAACATACAGACATTTTTATTCAGGGAGAAGGAAGGGCATCTGATACCTATCTGCACACGCACAGTAATTCAAAATGCACTGAAGCTGCAGAGGGGTATCTATTTTACCTAGTTACCGTACTATAACCTAAAATTATTTAGGTATAATAAACCAGGCAAACAGCTTTATATTATAGTGCATAGGACTCTCAGAGATATGGAAGTTGGTATCACTTCAGGTTTTGCAAATTGTAATTTCTTAAATTTAAGACAGCTTTTGCAACATAAACTGATTTTCATCAAAGTTTTGCTTTCTTCCCTATTTCATACCAGCATGTACAGGCCATAGCTTTTCAGGGTAAGACATAGACATAACTTCCCAAAATACAGAAAAATGTAGGAGCACTACAAGTCTCTACTTCCCTTATCTCTCGGGGCTTTTAGGTTTTTGTTTGTTTGTTTGTTTGTTTCCTTGTTTGTTTTTATGGAATAAAATTAGATTTCAGCATCTGTCACCATCAAAAAAACCTTCATCCCTAGCTCCCACATGAAAACATTGTAACCAATGCACAGTTACTGAACCATGATGCCTTAATGATCATTACACAAATCAACTTTTTTTTTTTTTTTTTTGAAGTAACGAAATTAAGAATGTGCTCTCAGAATTATTTGAATCAGACTGTTAGGTAATAAATTTAATAAAACCCAAATATGATTAAATTGTGAAAGTAATGCATACCACACAAAATGTTATGTGTGTGGATTCTTTTCATTTCGACTTATTCAGGTGTGCTGATTAAATTTTAGCAAATAATGTTAGTTCTGCCTTTCTTTCACAAAAAAACCCAGGGAGCAGAGACAAAGCACTTGGTAAATATTTCTGTCTTTTACTTTTATGTGTTTTTCTAAAGCTCTCTTTTCAACACAACCTAACAAAAAAATTGTAGGCCTATTATACAGGCCAAATGCAATAAAGATGTAAGATTTTAAATACTGATACTAGGTGTTTTGCTGATTATAATTCTAAGTTCCCCCAAATACATTATGTATTCAAGCATTTTTAATTATGACATTTTCCTGAATTCTTTAGTATGATCATTGTAACTTTTAAAGTACATATTTTGAATTTAACATAATTTGAATTTAGTTTGCAGATAATATATTGATCCTTAAATACATAAGATTTTCTGAAATACACTTATTGTGTACATTCCTACATGGGAAAATAATCCAACACTGCGAGGAATCTCCTAGCTACAACCCCAAATTCATTCCATCTATTTCTTCAGGAAAGTCAACCAGCAGTTTTTGAGTGAGTCGCCTGCAAAGTGCGCCGTGAAACTGCAAGTATGCAAATCACCACTCACCTAGGGCAGAGCACAATCTCACTGGTATCACTGCAATCTCTTCCTGCTGCCGTCATCCTTCCCTTGCCCTGTGCTACGACCTCTGCTGCACCTAGCCCCTGCGCCCACCGGGTCCATCGAGCATCAGGACCACGCATGGTCCTCAGTGAAGCAGGTAACTGCTGCCAAAGGCGCTAACACAGCACAAGAGAAGATGCTCTCGATTTTTACCTCAGCACTACCTAAATAGAAACTTCTGTAGCGCATCATTTAACAGCTCTTCTGTTCAAAGTGCTCTAGTCAGCAGAACATTATCTGCAGTCTCCTGACTCGGGCAAGCCCAGCCACCTTGCAGATGCTGGTTGCTTAGTTAGAGGCCCAATCTAATGTTGACACAAACCAGTTTCTGGTTTGTGAAATTAAAAAGCCCGCCAGCAAACAACTATTTTTGTCCACTGGATCAATGCTTTAGGTCACACACTGTTTTATACCAAAACTGCAGACTTCACATCCAGCAGTTTCAAGTTTTTAAATGGGAGAAGAATATTCAATTTTGGTGAGGTTTAAAAAAACAAACAAACAAACAAACAAAAAAAAACAACACATTTTTAACCAGCACATCATTTTCTACTATGTGTTCTCCAGACTTTTCATTTTAAATGGAATTGATTATCCCAGGTTTTCCAGTCCTGAGTGAGAAACCAATATCCCCAAAAGAAAAAAAAAAAAAAAAAAAGAATGAGCTATGTAAGAGCCTCTTAAAGAATATGTTTGAACAAGTCTCTGGTTCATGCAAGACAAACTTCTTTGCCCCAAGAAATATTTCTCTGTACTACTGACAAGCTCCAATGAAGATTTTTTTACATGACAGGTATCTCCTTTACTATACATGGCTTTGTTACATATTTAAAAAAATATATTGATTGGCTGACTCGTACTGAACTAGTTAGAGGAAACAAAATGCATCCAGTTACCTATGAAGTTACTTCTGTGAGGCAGGTTTCTACTACAAATGGCACTTTGGCTAAGTACAGTCTTGAGAATTTCCTTAATAAATAATAATAATAAAAAAGTAACATTAGCTTGCTTAAATCCAGGAGAAAATAATAAAAAAAAAGTAACATTAGCTTGCTTAAATCCACGAGAAAACACAACCTCTGAAAATAAAAGCATAATTTCCACAATGAAAGGGAAAAGAACTAAGCATTTTCTCTTGTTCGTTTTGTACAGTCTTGTGCACAATCTGCACAAGAATTGAAATTTTATACTAATACTCTAAAAAGAATGCCCTTCATCCTTTGGAAGCCTTTGTCTTTCCTGTGCTGATTTGAAAAGGGATTACCTTTCTCTTTTAAAATCACAATTGGAAGAGCTGTCCTGCCTAGAAATTTTAAGATTACACCCTTAAATAAATACTCTATGACATAAACTCAGATCAAAATGAGGTGGACCAGTAGATCAGATTCATACCTTAGTTTTGTGGAAGACTGCAAAGGGATGGGGAAGGTGTAGAAAACGGACAGCTCTCTAGCCCCTGGTCTTGACATGTAAATAAAGACATCTGAGGAGCACACAGGTTGGGAGCTGCTGTAACATTCTATCATAATTAGAAACATTTCAAGAGCCCTGTAATTTCCAATCAAAATTACAGTAATTTCTGATATACAAGCCATGATTCATGACAGAATTTTTACATTCCATGGGAGATTATAGTGGCCTGATGTATGACACACTGAGTACAGCACTAACATAAACAATTCAGTTTAATGTTTAAACAGCACTTGGCGTTTAGAATCCCACAATAAAAGAAACATATTATTGTAGAAATTATCACTTTGACAGTGATTGAAGGGTAGGCAGGCATGTGGCCTATAAAGCTATAATTTTTACAGTCCACAGCTTGAGTTTAATCATTTTGATATAACATTTCCAAAATATCCCTTTAAATACTCCTTACAGCATATAACTTAAGAGACAACATCCTTTCTGTACAACAAAATGCAGTAAACTCCAAAATGTGAACACCATAGAAGTCAAAAGTCAAATAAATTTAAAAAGAAAATCAACACCAAAATGCTGAAGGCCCAAGAAACACTGGTCTAACTTGATAGCCTGCAGCTTTCTCTGGAAGAGGATGTGTTTTTCTAAGAGTGAGTTTTAGAAAAGTAAAGGAAAAGCGACTAACTGGACTTAACATTTAATCTGACGTGAAGATTTAATGTTGCAAGAAGTGGTGCCTTTGCCATTTCCTTCAAGTGTTGGTATAACTGTGGTTCTATTCATTTCCATTTTTCTATATGTTTTTCCTTGAGTTGCTTTTTGAGTACATTCTCACTTACATCAATGCTTTTGCATACTCCAGTGATCTTTCTCAGAAGACATGTCACTTATGGTAATCACAACCAACAAGTGCTCACTGATTTCCCTCTCTTGCCACTAAACTTGACAGAAATTCTTCAGCTGAAGAAAACAGCATAGAAAACCACATAACAGAAGCTTAAAACTGAATATGCAATATGACTGTAAGCCCCTGCACAAGTAACCAAGCAGCCACAAAGACATGCTTTTTCAGATGTACCTTGTATGACCATGTGCTTTTTTTCTTTTTTCCTGGACATGGACAATTCTGCCCCACTTTCAACGCACAGCCTCACTGAACCCCGTTTCTGACTCATCATTTTAGCAAAAATCAGAACCCCGGTGTTCCTTGTTACAGCCCATGTAATTAAAACACCAAAGCCTACCTTCAGCACCACTATAGATAGCTTGCACACCGTTTTTGCCTCATCCATGCCAACTATGTATTTATGAAACCAGCACTTGCTGAGCTGCATGGGACAGTGAATAAACAGTACCCAGACGTTACCTTTGAACTCAACAATGAACTCCAAATTGTGGCACTGTGCCATCATGCTAACCCACGTCCAGCCACTATAACTTACACAGAAGCAGGTCAAAACCAGATGGGGAAAAAAGAGAGGCCATTACGCCCCAGGAACTTTACCTGGCTTTTGGTTGCTGCCACCTTTGCAAACAGTGCTTGAGACACCTTAGCTCTCTTCATTTCCTGCTGAATCTCATCATAAATGGAAGCATTAATGTTCATGGAATTATTTTCTGTTTTTCCATTCCTCTCTGTAGCGATAGTAGCAGTTTTGACCTAGAAAATATGTTATGAGACATTTTTCATTATGAAAAAGTTATTTTCCTCTCATTCTCTCCCCTTTCCATTTTATTCCTTTTATTCAGTACTGCTCTTATATTCTTTCAGCTTTTTGGTAACTTAACATTATAAGTTATCCATAGTTCAGGCAACTGGGAAACAAGATAATTCAGCATATTGTAACAGGTGAATGCATCTGAAATATGAGTTACTCTTAGCTGACCACTGTGAATTTCCATGTCATAAAACAAATTAGGTGGAAATCTGTCAAACAGTCTTGTAGAGACTTGTGAATCCTTACAGGATTTCTTTGCCCCAGACAATTTCAGTAAAAAATTTAACTGTAGCATAAAAGTATTTCCAATAATATAAAGAACAACAGAAAAATGCCTTATGTCCAGTACACTCAAAAGAATTGTGATGTAGAAAATTTGTTGCTTTAGATTTAACCTTTTAATATATTGTCTGATCAGTTTAATTCTTAAGCTGTTTTTAAGAAAGCAACAATTTAGATTAATGCATATCTTAATCTCACTCATGAAATCAAGATAGGCTTATCTTAAAACTATTAATGCTGGTTGTATTTCACTTACATACATCAAATATGCATTTTCAAGTATGCATTCTTCTTGCAATCCCGTTTAAAGAAAATAACATGAAAATAAGGCGTAATTACTACAATATTGCCTCTTCTATGTTAGCTGCATCTGCAGTTTGTGCGGTATCAGTTGAAAAGTACAAAAAATTAGCAAGTACACTGAGAAACACCTCAGAATATCCCTACAATACTGTCAACAGTTAAGGACAGCATCTTCCTTTAGGATCTCCTCTTGCAGTGCTTGCCTGAAATTTAAGGACTTTCAGAGGAAAGACTATTTCTGCCAACGTGATGAAACAAAATCAAACCTTTAGATTTCAGTTCAAATTGGTTCATACTGAAGTTGTAGGGAGCTGAATTAGTTTAGCCATTCTGAAGTTAGCTGTCTTGCCTAAGATAGTCATTCAGGCTACCTCTAAGTTAATGGCCAGAGACAGGCAATTCCAGAAAGTGATTCAGCCTACTCTCAAGGATGTGTCTAAAACCAGTTTCACTATCAGTTTAATCCAGAGCAAGTCAGCATCTTCCTGTGCTCTTAAGTCCCTTAGAGTTCAAAGGGAAATCATTAGAGCATGACAATTCATCTTCTAATCTCACTTTTATATGAGCTTTCATGTCACAGTATGAGAAGGAAAGGGTTTGGGTGAGGGACATACTTAGGCAAATCATTGGTCCATTTTTTTCCTAGAAATGTCATGCTCAATTTAGCCTAACTATCCTCTATGGTACTTTTAAAATAAAATAATCTAGCCCAGAAACTGGGAGTGCATGCCACTTCTGCTGAGCCTTATTTGTCTATCAGGCATTTCCAGCACTGTGCTAACACCTCATCATTTGCAGCAAATGGCAAAACCTCGGCATGGACAAGGCACATGCTTCCACCTGCCTCCTACTGGCAGGCATTAGTCTTTCTAGTGTTTGAGAACAGGAATCCTAAATCAAAAGGGAAATGGAAAAAAAAATCCCAGAACTCGTTCATACAGTCTGACTGTACATGACTTTTTTTTTTTCCATCTGAAAATAACTAGTACCTTGCAGCAGTGACCAGGACAGTGAGGTGTTTCCTTTTCTGCAGTGTGACATTTAATGGGTGATACTACAGTAAAGGATGGTCAAGCCTGGGCCAAGGGCTGCTCAGAAACGTTCCTGGCACCAGGCAGTGAACAGCATGAGAAGCAGCACCACGAACCTCCTCTTATTCATGTTGCAGGGTGGGAAAACACATGCGTCACACTGAGCAGACTAGCATGAGGCCACAAGAGCAGGTGCATCTCCTGAACACCATGCAGTGATATAATTTGAAAAATACAAAATCAGTGGAAATTTTATAACCTTTAAATGGAAAGGACTCACTATAAGATAACTGATGAACAATGGGGACATTAAATTTACTATTGGAGAGAGCCCTCACTGTGCACATACAAAAATCAGGCTAAGCTAACTTAGAAAACTAAAATGTGATGGCTTTGTCAACACATCATCTTGGACCAGAGATTTAAATTTTGGCAAAGTTATTTCACTCCTTCCAAAAGAAATACTTCTAACCTGTATCTAATCTTGGAGGGTTCTCTCGGGAAGAAGAGACGTGGCATCTTTTGGGAAGGAAATGCTTTGCTCTTGTGTTCCTGATCAAAATGTCTCTTTTCTGCAAGCATACTGACTTTCTGATTGCTACTCAGCTTCAAAAGACAGCTTCACGTCATAGAAGTACTTCATAGACTACTGAACTGAGCTGTGGAGTGAACAGCCAGATCATCAAAGAACAGAATTCACACACCACATCGGAAACAATTTAAATTGTGTGTCTTGGTCCATATTTTTCCACGTTCAATTTAGTACGGATATGCATTTAACTCAGAAATTACTGAAAATTCTCGTTCTAGTTGTTAAATCACATCTATCTTTATAGAAGACAATAAACTCAATGGCATCTAATGTTTCTGAAGTTAAAAAACAAACAAACAACCTTATGCTGCCCTGTTGCCTTCTGCTGATCTTGAATTAGGGAATAAACAATAGAAAACGCTAATACCTTCATCAGGAGTATTAGCCCACAGATCTTCAGGAGAATGAAAGTCTTAAAGTTATAAAATAGTGGGCTTGGGGATTATCAAGAGTTGTACTTCACAGCCATATCCTAACCCTCTCCAATTTACATCACTGGCCAAGTATAAAAATTCTTCCCCCGCTTCTTAACAATTTCTCTTTACAGATCAGGTATAGACTATGGCTGGACTAGATGGACCATTGGTCTGCTCTGGTCTGATGAATTCCATGCAATAATACTAATTAACCTCTTGGAGAATATCCATACATAAAACTGTTTCATAATTTATACATAGCAAGCATCTAGCCTGCTGTGTTGAATTTAGAATTGAGTTCAAGCTAGAGGCTGTTTGAAGCTGAGTTGAAAAACACCCTCCTCCTCAAAACAAGAAAAAAAAAAGAAAAAAACAACAAACAACAACAAAAAAAGCCCTCAACAGTGCAACTTCAGGACTTGAGAGAGGAGGTGAAAACAGTATTCATTTTGGACAGAAAAACAAAACAAAACATAATGTCCCATCTCATCCACACTTAAACACAACCTCTCACCCCACCCACACATATAGCCACATTTTCTGTTTAGAAACGAAATCATAGATAAGCTTTTTTTTTTTTTTTTTTTTGACAGTAACCAAGTTTTTCAACTACTTACAGAACAAGGGAGCATTATTTTATAAATGTAGCACACTGAGAATCAGAAACTCATTTGGCCATCTTCCTATCACCAATCAATTTAGTTGTTTAAAAACACTTGGACAAAAAATAGCACATCTATCCCGTCCTGGCCTGCCTAGGTACATATCTTATCATCAGATAAGGCCAATTACAGTAGCAAGAAATTCTGGATTCATTCTTTTTTTTTTTCCCCAAACAAAGTAGAGGCTATTGTAGAAGAAATAACTAATCTGAAGAGGTTTCCATAAATATGGACGTTCATTTCTTCCTCACCAAAACTAAAACAAAAAAATCTTTTATAACACATTCTCATAAGTACTGTTTTAGCTTGGGAACAAAAATCTTCTTTAATCCTGGTTTAGCTTTTAATATTACATCGTACATTAAAATTCATAAAGTAGTTCATTCCAGGCAAAACAAACTACTTTTCAGTTCTACTCTGCAAATAGCAGAGGAGGTACAATAAATGCTGTTGCTTTCAGAACAGCTTTTATCAGGACAAGGTTTACTACTCCATTATTACACTGGCGCCTGGAAGTGCAGTTATAGTTAAGTGTCAGTGTTTCCATTAACTCTCCTCCATGGTGGTTTTCACGGGGGAAGGAGAAGACTGCATTTATTATTTGGTTCATTTTGAATTTCATTAAATTGCAACTTGGCACAAGGGCTACCAACCTAAATTTTGAATTTTTGCAGCAAAATAATTTTTTTTGCTGGTTGTGATGTTTGTGCGTTTGAAGTCCAGGTCTCCACTGTGAAGTTTTGAGGGAACTGTCATTATGTGAAGTTCCTTGAAGTGGAAGTTCACTGGTCCTCAAACACCAGCAAAGCCATGTTCTGCTCAAGATCAGTCTTTCAAAAGTGACATCCTATCTCTGGGATCCAAGCTGAAATTGCTTATCATGAAGGAACTCTATTTGTAGTCATAGGGAGGCCAGGATAATATTTATAAAAACGAAAGTTTTTTCTACATTGAATACCTAGAACCATAAGTCATGTAAAATTTGTGGATATTTCTTAAAACAATCGTTTGCTAAAATTATATTCTACTCTTGACTTTACATGTACTCTGTCTTTACACAGGCTGATGATGGGCACCTAGAGTTAGCACTTTTTTTTTTTTTGGTGGTGAATATGGGTGGGGAGAGGATTTCTTCCTCAGCTGTTCAGAAACTGAGATTACCTGTTCCGAGAAAGAACTGTTCATAACTGCAGGATGGCTAACAAGCTTTATCTAGAATATATTGCAAAAGAAAATCTGTAAGTTGGTCACCAGTCTCCATCCTTTACAAGTTGTACTGAGGAGGAGGCGGCACTCGTTCTCCATGGCCCCTGAAATACCATGATGAGAGGGAAAGGCCATCCCTAGCAACTCTGTGGGGAACTCCAACTACCCTGAACCCAATTTGACACTCAGCATCTCCTGAAGTATCCTCACATCCTCCCATTCCTAAGCAATGTGTGTAGACATTGACTCATTGTCTGAGCTTGACTTAGAAACACTGAAAAGGAACCACTGTGTGTTAATCTGCAAGGTGAATGTCTTGGGGAGGGAGAAAGAAATTAGTAAAAGAAAAAAGAAAAAAAAAAAAAAAGATGTTTTATTAATCACTTCAAGGTTGGAAATGTTGAACTAGCTCTCCATGCAGTATCTACCTGATGGAGAAGCTAATATTTATACATTCCACTGCCCCAGGAAAGAGCCTGACAGACAGGCTTCTGCCCCAGAAGGTGACAAGGTGAACAACATCCAAGGGAAAATTCTTGTGTATCCTGTCTCTTTGTGCTTAGCCCACCAGTGTGAAAGATGGCAGCAGACTTTTACAACTTGACCAGCTTAGAGGGCTAAACATGTTCCTGAAAGCTCAGGCATTAGAGGCTAATGATTTCAATTTAAAAAAAAAAAAAGTAAAAAAAAAAAAAAAAGTAAAATTTTGCTTTTTTTTCTTTTAAGTCAGAGAGAAAGGGAAAAGTAAAGGGGACAAAGAGCTTCTTAAAGGATTTCAAAAAAGAATTGGAAACAATCCAGATACATTAGCTCAAGTAGCAACTAGTAAGAATGCTGTAAAAATGAGATAAATTCAATGCAGTTTCTTCTAACTCAGGCACTGGGGTTTGTGCTTGGTGAGTTCCTACTATCCTATCAGACCTCCAAGGTCACACTTTCTGTTTTTGCATGTAATAGTATGCAAAATTCACACTGAACAAGCCCAGCTGCTAAACGGTTAAGTCTGCTCTACTGTCTGGCCACCAGTTGGCAACACAAAAATGCAAAATAGATCCTTTTCAGGATGTTTATTTTCACATCCTTCCGAAACTGATAACTTGCAATTGCAAAATAAACCTTCATGTGTGGCATATTAGCTCCCATTTTTCATGGTTTCATAGTTTAATTGTTTCAAATGTTACACTGGTCTAAAGATTTAACATTAAATATGTTGGCTCTTGCCTAAATTCTGTTGTCAGGATAAATGGTCTGTTTTGTCCTTCAGTAGTTATGCAAAAAGTTCACAGCTAAACCAGAAAAATATTATGCTCTATTCCTACACAGTGAATGTTAAATAACTGTTTATAATAATTTTAGTAATAATGATGGTAGTAGTTTTATTTCTTTAGTGTCAAATATCCAATAAACTGTGGGCATTTTTCTTGGGGCGTAGAGGGACAGCAATCAGAGCAGTAGCTTGCATTAATAATTTTGCAGAATTGTTTGTTTCTGGTACAATTTGTAAAATTATATCTGCTAGTGCAATTACTAGAATAATTTCATTATTATTTCTAGCATTAAGTGTTGTACTTACGTTACTACCATGGACATTTCAATTTTCTATCTTAGGGCTCAGAACCTACTAGCAGCTGGCTAGTGCTACATGTGTTTATAGGCAGATAATTCTGGCAACAAATTAAAACAGTTCTGCAGCATCCTGACTTGGAGGTATTTATATCCCCGATCCATCCAATAGATAAAGTGCTTATATGTTTTGTTGAATGACAAACAATAACTAGAAAAATACTTGTTTTGTTCTACAGAACTCAAGTATTAGTCTATAAGGATTCCTTGTTAACCTGTTTTCCTTTTAAACAGGATCCAAACAAAACCATATGCTGTTTCTACTTTTAACTGTTGTGATTAGGTTAACAATACTCTGGAGTCTCAGGAAAAAAAATGTAAATGTAAACAAATACACAATAGCAACATACATCTTCCCAACACCACTGAAAAAAAAAAAAAAAGTGGACTTACAGTATGCTTTGCCAGTAAAATTATAACCAACCCTAAGCCTGCCTTTCTGGCTGAAAATTTATTCAGTTTAAAGTGTGAATTAAAACCAATACAAGGACTACCTCTGACTCGACATCCTTCTGGAAGGTCCTGTAATTAACTTTGTTCTTTAGCTGTGAAATTGCCCAAGACCACTTGAGACAGAGTGAGACATTACCTTGGCAGAAAGAGATAAGTTAAGAAGGAGGGTTAGCCTTTGCTCTGAATTACCTGGGCTGTGGGAGCAGGTTCAGATATTAAACCAAACTTAAATGTTGTCTTAACACAGTTATCTATACTTAACTATTTCCCACTAAAGCATTACTATGTAAATAGACTCTCTTCCTTTATCTTGGAGAGTATCTATAGTGGATTTCACAGACTAAACTCAGTCAATGATAGCAATATTAGACCATTAGTACAGTCTGTTCTTTCTGGAGTTTTTTTTTTTTGTTTGTTTGTTTGTTTGTTTTTCTCCCCTTCATGTGAAAAGTACTTGTAGCAGGTCAGAAGAGATCTTCTGTCCTCCCTTTTGCTATGTTCTCATCATTACTCTTGTGTGGTCCTTAGCATCCATTAGCTTCAGGAATATTTGAAAAATAATCTGCAGAAATTTGTAGCATTCAGAAAAGGTACAGAATATAGTCCTAGGCACTTGCTTGAGCCTGTTTAGTTAAAAAACTGCCCTGAGTTTATACATTCAACTGTCACAAAATTTTCAGAGTCCCAAAGCCTTGCTTTGCATAGTGAATCTACAACAGCATGATTTCCACCTATTTGTAGATCAGTTTGTTTTTTTCCTTGTAAAAGTACAACCCTAAGCCACAGCAATGCAGAGGATTTCAGAAAAGGTATGGAATATTTTGGAGTGTTTCTTTCCCAGCTGCATTTCTTCTGTACAGAAATCATATGCATTCCTATAGTTCACTCTTTTATTTCACATGCACCCTAAAACCAGCATAAAGAATTTCATTTATGGACACAAGAACTGCACCATTGAATTTCTGGATACCTGCTTATCAGACTTTTTCATTTGGGGACAATTAAAGAAATAGTCCCACCAGATTTGATGGAAATCAATAGGAGTTTCATTTGAACATGAACTAAATGAAGTTTTAAAAAATATATCCCAGTCTTTCAGAGCAGTGAATAGATCAAGGCTGTTTTTTTTACCCAGCCCAAACTGGTGAAGGTGCCCCCAGCATTTTAGGAGGGAAGTCTTCTCTCCCTGAGACCTTTAGCTTTACCTGTTTGTTTTCTGGAAGATATTTTTTAAGGCAATATGATGTGCTCATACTTCTGCTTCTCATTCCCACTCAGTTTAGTGGTCCAAATCCTTCAAAATCCCTATTTAAAACTCTATCATTAAAACAATACCTGAGAATTACAGGAAAAAATAAAGACAACAACAGAAAACCAGCATGTTCCTGGACCAAATAAAGCTCATGTCTCAATAGAAACAGCAAAAAACTCTGTGGGGGCCATAATGGATAGAGTTTATCTTAAAACTAGAAAATAGCTAGTAATGAACTGCTACTATCATCCATTACATTCCTTAAATTTAATTTGTGACATGCACTGCAAATAATGATTCTGCGAGCGTTTAAAGAATTCAGCAGCAAAAGCTTTCTTGTTCTGAAGAAAGGCATCACCCGGCAGGATATGGAGAAAGCACAACAAGCAAATCCAAAAGACAGAGAGAGCAGTTTACTTGTGGAGGCCGGCTAGGCGGTGTGCTTATGAGAGGTGCAGGGCCCATGGCAGAGGCTGCGTTCAAGCTCCTTTCTCTTTCATCCTGGTAAATTCGATCTCGTTCGGCTTCTGGCAGCTGCAAGAAGTTCTGCATAGCCCGAAGGTTTACCAGCAAGGACTGCGAGGCAGTCTTGGGATCCTCTTCCTTTCGGAGGATTTCTGAGAGCAAGCCCTGTAGGGAGGGGGAGGAGAAAAAATGCTGGACAGTTAGCCTGGTGAAAACATCCTTTGCACAGCCGTTGCTCATCAGTCCTCCTTCCACTGGGCTTGGAACAAGAGCAGCCAAATGTACTATCCACTCCACACAGGAATATATTAATGGCAATTTAGGTAGCAGAGAAGAGAGCCTCAATTGTGCTCTTAATTTTATTAAGCATCTGTTTTACATACAACACAAACTGAATCTGCCTAATAGGTCTCCTTCCTTTTACTGGCTTAACTTGCCATGAAATCTTTCACAGTCGCCAGACAATCACAAGAAGTTAAGAGTAAGTGAAACACACATAGTCCAGAGGCATGATGCTGTGCTGTTCTCAGGTTTTCCAGGCAAAGCACATAGCAAACCTAAAGAAATTGGCTTTCCACATTTCTAGCACTTTAAACAGCTCTTTGAAAGGAAGTGATATTCCACAGCTAATCTGAGAAGATAAACTCGTAATGGTCCTGCAGGCTTAACTGACTCAGGTCCATATTTTCAGTCTAAGTCAATACTTAGGTAAAAGAGTTTTATATCAGAGTTTAACAACAGGTGTAAAAACTGACTGTTGGCCACTGAAAGGCTAGAAGTGTGCCCCTCTCCTCCTCCCACCACCCTCATCCCCTCACCAGACCATCCTAATCCTCACCCTGTCCATCGCCTGGGCTGTTTATTTGAGTACCTGCTGTGCAGGTCCCACTTCCTAAGTCCATTTACTGTTGCTGTCCTTTGACAACTTTCAGAGCCCAACAACGATACACAAAAGTGAGCATTGGGGAGTGAAAGAAAGCCAGAATAGAGGGCATAGGCAGCAGTGAGCTGGGAATGGCAGGCTGCAGACGATAGCATGCCACCGGCTCATACAGACCACGCCAGGTTCCCTGCGTAATCACTTCATCTCGGTTCTCAGCAATGGAGCAGGTCTGGCGGTCTGGGACACCTAATTACTCTAAAAGATGAAATATTTATGAACCTGTGAGTGCAACTAGAAGTTTAACGTCAACAGGTTCTTGAAGTCTCCCCCCTGCCAAACTCTCCTTTTAAATACGTCAGGCATACAAAATGCTCTGCTGTCTTGAAGTTACAAAACTTGCAGTAAGAAAACTGTAATTTCTGCAAAAGCAAACACAAACTTCTTTTGAAAATACATGTTGTTGCCATGCAGGGACAAGGAGAGGCTTGGCCAGAGAGACTTCTAATGCCAGTGTAACAAGGGAACATGGATGTGACATTAAAGAACACAACCCAATGTTCCTTTTCCTAAAGGGCATTTAAGTTATTTGGGGGTAATCAAGGTGTGAAGGGTGGAGGTGTAAGGAGGGAGTAATAAAAAAGTTAAGAGAGATGACTGACCGTAGATGGCCATTCACACAGAAAGCTACAGCTGAAGTATCAGCTCCTGATGATGAATCTGATGCTCACACCTATGAAACCACCTATGGCAGTTGTCTTCTATCCCCAAAAATCCTTTTTTATCAGGCAAAAGCCCCTTATGGAGGCACTGCTGCAAAGCCACTGCTCCCAGGCAGCTGTGCTCAGGCAGGCCAGCACCCACCAGCATGGCTCTGAGCTGTTTGCCCCATTGCCCCTCTGTCTCCCAGGGGCAATGAGGACAGAGGTGCTAATCACTATGTTGGGGCCACGTGGTCCTCATGACTCCATATGGGTCTGCAAACACAGGAGGGAAATGGGATGGAAAACACAAACCAACCTTCCAGCACTGAGTCTGAAAGATAATTTGGAGGTAAACTTTAAAAAATTATAATAATAATCTGGTGGATACTTTCTTACCACTGTTCTTCATCCCTCCTCTTTTCTGGTGTCCAGGCAGAAACTATTTAGAAGGTAAATAAATGGGTTACAGACAAAAGTATAATTTGGGTGGAGACAAAATTTTTTAATTTTGTATAGCCTCAACAATAGACTTATTAGCAAATATGGAAGTTAAATTCTTGTCTACAAGGTTAATGTACTTTTGTACTTAAGTACTCACACTGTTACTGCTTGTTAATGGTAGGGTTATACTGCCCATCCTCCAAAGAGCATTAAAAATGATTTTGTGCCACTGAAGAGAAGGCACAGCTGCCTGCAGAGCACAGGATGTATCATTACGGTGTAAACATGTGATTTCTGACTGCTCCTGTGCTGAAAACAAGTCATCCAGGATTAAAAAGAAGAAAGGAAAACTAAACACAAGTGGACTGGTCACTGGCAGGAAGGAAGACTCCTTCCCAGCAACCCACTGTCAACCACAGAAAACGTCCTTGAAAAATACTTTGGACCATACTAGAAAATAATAAAAAAATTAAAACTTTTTTTTACCCTCCCCTGTGTCTGTCAGTATAACAATTTATGCAGGAAGTGTCATTAGGTATTAATTCCCCTGTCTTTTCCCCATCACTGGCGTGAATCTTTGCATGAGCTGGGAGCACAGCATAGGACTCAGATGTGGATAGAAGAGGGGAGATGAGAGTGTGGGGAGAAGGCATGAGGAGGTGCTTGCTTTGAATGAAAAGGTCAGAATATGGATGCAAATAACAGATGAAAAAGGTGTAGTACCAGGTATAGGGCAAGTCTTACAATACAGTTTACCGGCTTTAAATATTAACTTGTTGCTACTGCTTCAATTTTTTGAGCAACAAAATTCAGCTAAAGACTGTTGGACAACAAGTAAAATGGGAAAATCCTAGAAAGAATACATTGGCTCTTAAGTCTTGCCTCCTACATACAGTAATTTACCATTCATTATACTAGGCCTGAACTGGCTTGCAAAGCTGCAAGTCTTGGTGTGGTTTCCTGATATTATACCTCAGGTCACACAGAGGATCCATGCCATTTGGTATAGAGATTATAGAAACTGTCAGGCACAGAGTCCCCTTTGCTCATCCTCCCTCTTATTCTTTCACAGTGGAAATGTATTTTCTTAAGATGTTACTAGGATCCATTGAAAAAAGAAAGTTTACACATCATCACAAGTATAATTCATTACTAATTGCACAAAAATGTTCAATAAATATTATCAGTGCTTTCAAAAGCTAATTATGAATTCTTTAAAACTGGAGATAAACGAAAGTGTCTGCCAAAGTGAACAAAAACGCTGCCTGTCTGGCCCCCAGTTTGTCTCCTCTTTGAATGTAATCATTGATTCAAATAGATTTTATCAGCCTCACAGAACTTCAAAGCTTCCAGAAGAAAAATGCAATTTGCCCAAACCTCCCCAAAATATGCAGAACGTCCTCGAATGCTATCTGCCTCCATCGTGGGGTGCTTAAGCCCCATGTCCAGGTGGAGGATTATTTGCAAGCTCCACCCACAGGCCTGGATCCCTGCCAAGGAAGTTATAAGCAGACACATTTATCTATGTCGCTTAGTAGCAAGAGGAGAGCCGTCATGATAGTGTAATAGCACCTTTTTACCTTTTATTCAATAGTGATATGGATAGTGTGCTTTTTCTTAAATTACAGTACGAAGAATTATATGAATACAGTGGCAATTTCTGTTATACTTAAGCAGGCAAATTTCTCTCTACCACATAATTTACAGAACTCAAATTCAATAAAACATTACATGATGGTCCATTACTGTTATCAATTTTGAATAATCCATCTTCATTTTTCATTTTACTGGAAAATAAAGTGTGCCAAAGACAAAGTGGAAGAAAAAAAAAAAGTGCCTGAGAAGGTGGTTGGTGTAAACTTGGATTTTGTTTTAAAATTACGTGGAACCATTTACCGCATCCAAGTGTTCTCCTCTGAAACAACAGTTGCCCAGAATTAGTATGAGCACAGTCCTAAATACACAGAAGTTTTCACATAGGAGAGAAGGCATTATACATTAACAAAATGCGGTAAATCCTGGCAGCTAATATTTTAAACAAGTATGGGGGTGAAGGAGAAAGGAGGGGGAGAGAAAGGTATCTGGCAGAAATACTGAGAAGTACTCAAAAACCTTGAGATGTAAAACTGTCACTTGTGGGAAGAGAAGAATTACAATAGTCAGACATGGCAAAAGCAGCAGAAAGCACTCCCCCTCCTTTCACGACGATGGAGACGAGAGGTCACCTCCGTACAGCAGAACCTGAGCTCAAGCAGCAAATGTTATGGTTGAAAGTGTACACAAACAAAGGCAGGCAATTCGGAGTTACAGTTCCAACCACAACCATGACTAACACCTCCTCACTTGTGCAGCACGTAGATGTCACCGTGCCATGCACCAGGTTAAGTTATGCCTTCAAGTCAAATGTCAGACTCGCTGGTGGGAACCAAAGCTTTCAATTTCCTGACTCATGTTTGCATTTACAAACACTGCAGAAATTGGCGAGGAGTTTGTTTATTTGTCTAAGACTCCGAAGGTGGTTCAGAGGAACAAATTCTGATGCTCCTCTCCAGCTCTTTCAGGAAGAACCAAGCAGCGTGAAAAGCCTCCTGGTTTAACAGGAGCACTGCAGGGGCAGACTGAGCCTATCTGCTGGGGGAGTCTGTGGGACAGGCTGAAGCAGGGTCACTGTGCTTCGCTGCAAACACCATTTCTGCCCAGCAAAGAGCCTGGGAAAAAGCTGAACCATCCAGTATACCAACAGCAGCTGGAAAAGATATTAAATTTATTAATTCAGCTGAATGGCAACTGAAATTTAATTTACTGAAATTTTTGAAATGTATAGCTCAATTTACCAAAATTGCTCTAGCAAGTTGAGAGACTGGCACACACATTTGGTAGCCAAGATTGAGGTGAAACTTGGACCTGCTTGCACAGATCCTGACTCAACAAACTTTTCCAGGGTGCATTACAAAGCGATACTAACAGGATTCAGCCTGTTTCTTTGCAGCCAGTGAGCTGGAATAGCAACTGCTGAAGGACAAATAAAACTTCAGACCTCACTGTGCACTGAAGCCTTACTAGCAGGCCTACTGTGAAATTTCTTGCAAGGAGAGGCGTTCCAGCCTCCAAAGCTACTTCTGCTGCCCACAACAATTGTGCTATTGTGCACATATGGTGCACGCAAGTTATAGCTTTCTGGCCTCCTCTTTGATTAAATTTTGCAAGGCACATTCCTGAAAAATGCACGGTTTTGAAACTACCATTTTGAAGGTACGGGTAGGGTGGAAATTATCCAAGAAGAGATTAAAAACACTGAACACCCTTACAATTTTCTTAGGTGTGGCTGAGGTTTCTTCTGTCCTATTAATAGACATTAATTTAGAAACAAAAAACAACAACAAAAAACGCCAAATGATTTAGTTCTCAGTAGTAATTTTACCATTATTTTTTTCCTTTGGGCTAAGCGGAAGCAGAAATATTTCCAGGCAATACTTTTGCCCCAAGATAAAAATTAAAAACATCTTGAAAATGATGGCGAAATGATGAACTACTATCTAAGCTGGTAGAACCACCCCTCATTTACCCTCTGCACCCTCCCCCCCCAAACAAAACCACAAATTCTGTATTCATACTACAAAGCAGAAATGCATAAAATGAGGTACCAACATATTCAGCCAATTCAACTGAAGTTCATCTTTATTGCCAAAACACTAAGCTAAATTACTCTGAGTTTACAATTCACTTCCTTCCGTAACTTTTACAGTGAAAGCAAATCTCTCTCCTCATCTGAGACCATATCTTAATATCAGATTTATTTTTTTTTTTAGTGCAGAACTACTGACTGATTTCGGTGAGATCTGCCTTCAACAACTGATGGCATGATATAGTCCCTGGACACGGCACAAATATGCTTATAGCAGTTTCAAAAATGTCAGTGGTAAGCCTGAGCTAGCTTTTTATCTTGGAAAAGAGTAGATAAATTTAAACAAGCATTTTCACTTGCTTTAGAAAAAAAAAAGTCAGAAGATATTTCATCAATATTAGAAAATAACTTCTAAACAGCAACAGTTATTAAAGTGCTGCTTTAATTTTAGTTAAATGCGATATATCCTTGAATAAGCTGTGATAAATTCTGAAGCACAGCAAGCAAAACAAATTTTCGTGCTTTCATATAAAAACCACAGGTGACTATACCTGTACTTATATTTGGATGTTAGCTGTTCCTGTGGGTACAATGGCAATTTTCAGTTTTGCAAAGGTGAAATGTGCCAAAAGCAAACTCCTCTGGATTTCAGTGGGGCTTCACTTGCATATGAAAAGTATACTGACTTATTTCTTCACCATACTGAGGCTAATATTGCCTAGGCTCCTGGTATTTTTCCTTTCTATTCCCTACGTTGGCCACAATAAGCAACAAATACTGCAAATAGTTATGTAGCTAAATGCAAATACTAATTTGATTAGCTAACACAATTTGTAGGATATGGGGATATCCTACAAAGAACTCTGTGTTCTTTCAAGTTGATTTGGTTGAATATTGCCAAAATATATTACGAATATATATATTTCATATCATTTTCTGGATTTTTTTTCAACATTTGTTTTTTGATTTCTTCCCAGTTTTGGGTCACTTTGAATAGCACGTTCTTCCTAGCTGGTTAACTACAGTGTCTGTGGAAGAACTGTACTTTAAAAAAATATTTAATAACTTTGGTAGTAACAAAAATGTCTAGTAATCAGGAATCAGTATTTGCACTAGAAATCTGGCTCTACTGTTGCTTTCATCCCATCTTGAGAGCATGTTTATGCAGCACGTCATATAAATTTAATGTCCAGTCAGAACGAATTGTCCTTGTACTTCAGATACATACTGTTCAAAAACAAGCAATAGACCAAAACTGCATGAGAAAACTGAACAAATGATTTTGGAAGGGGGAGGAAGCTGAGAGAAAAAAAAAATTGTTTTTAGACAAGTCTGAGAAATAAATAAATAATAAATGATTTATTTTCTGAATTATTTGGCAGCTGCAAACTGTGGTAAATTGAAACTACTATTAGTATTTTGATACTTTAGAGTATCAATACCCAAAATACTACTTATTTTATTAAACAAATCTCTATGTCACTTATTTATAAATATAACAACTGACACTGCCTAAATTTATGTAAGCTGCGTGAGTTCATGTATCCCATGAAATTTGTTATAAAAGACCCAAATCTTCAAAGTCTCCTCTACTGTTAAGAGGAAAGACACAAGGACACATACACAGCTCTACAGAGAATTCACCTCATAACTGTACTTCCTTTCAGTTGTAAAAACTGAAGGATGTAAAAAACAAAGGTAATAATAATTCTGAATGATTACCAATAACATGCTGATTCAAATCTGGTACAAGTGCATATGAAATATTTTTTATTCTCTAAGTCCGAAACATCAACAAGAGAATCTCGAATTATAATTTTTATTATATTCTACAATGGGCAAACACTTGTTCCCTAAGTTAAAAATGTGAAATCCAAAACAAATTTACCTACATCCTTTAAAAATATTTCTTATAAGGAAATCCTATTTTATTTTCTGTTAAAACAGACTTTTTAAATTTTGAGATCTTATTTGCTTTGGGTATACTGACGTTTCTTTCATAACTTCTGCTTGATTAAATTCCACGCAACATGGCATTAAGTTAAATTCATAAAACAGAATAAATTATAACAGGGTTAGCTTCTAAAACAGGTGTAAAAAATAACACATTTTAGTGTTACTTATCAGCTTTGCTAGGGCTAGTTTTTTTTGCATTGAAGAGCCGAAGTATATGCTCTGACGTGGACATCAGCAATCTCAGAAACTACTGATTTTGCAACAAACTGCAAAAACACATAAGAGCAGAAGATCTAAAAATAAAGCTTTTTTTTTTTTTTTTTTTGTAAATTAGGTCTTTTCAGAAAGTTCCTATGAGTCATGTTGTTAAGACTTTTAATAGAAAATAATAAACACAAATAAGGAAAAGAAAATAGGTAGTTCAGTGCATGCATATGGTCAGTACTGGCATACCTTTACAACACAACGGCAATCTGTTGGGTGACTTTGTGAATGATCACAAAGAGCTATTCATTCCCTTTCCAGGGAAGATGGAGAGGAACCAAGATATCTCTAAAAACAGCACGTATTTCCACAAACCTATCACCGTGGATTTCTGTACTGTATCAACATGGACACTGGTCCTACAAGGAAGTGTGGTTCCTTCACAGGAGCTAAGTGACAAGACAGAATTGAAAATAGAGACTTAAAAGGCGATAATCACTAAATATGTAAATTAATTAATGAGAGAGAGAGAAAAAAAAAAAAAAAGAGAGAGAGAAAAAAAGAAGAGGCTGCTAGATTTAAAAGAGCAAGAAAAAAACACTGACCTGAGTTCGGTTAAAAGCCACGCGTGCAAATACTGCCTGTGAGATTCCTGCTCGTTTCAGTTCATCACGGACCCACTGGTAGATTTCGGAAGACACCTCTGTGTTTGTTGAGACCTGCTGCTCCAACGGCTTGTTCATGGATCTACTGACAGGAGGAGGGTGGTTCAAGTACTGTTGATTTAAGGACTGCTGGGCTAGAAGTCTGTTCACTGCATACTGCTGGTTCAGCAACTGGGCCATTACCAGCTGCTGATTTACCAGCTGAGGGCTAATGGGAGTAGATACAAGTCCAGGGTGCAGGTTTGGAAGTGGGGTCCGAACTGATGGTTGACTACCATGAGAAAGCTGAACAGGGGATGGAGGCTGTTCGGCTGTGTTCCCTGGGACCGGCTGCTGACCGAAGTTGACATGGTTGGCACCTTGCTGGGATAGTTCAGAAAGGCTATCCATCTCAACTATGGTGGAAAAGAAACATTGAAAAAGCCAACATAAGACTGAAAATCACAAACTTCATGATCCTAGCAAGACATGCTAACAAAAATATATAAATACAAAATAGCTCAACATTCACGGTTGAGCTTACAATATTCTCCAGCTTACTTATCAGTAAGTCCATAAGATCACTGTTGCTGTTATTTGCCTTCAAAATAGCTACAAATAATGGTGTAGTAGATATTTAAACAAACAAACAAAAAAACAACAACAAAAAACACAACAAATTGCCCATCACTGTCACCAAGCCATTGGAGGAACCAGCAGAACATCAGAGCCAGAACAATGTGCTGGAAACCACATATGGCAAAGGAGTCACTGGTAGAGAGCTTTGCAAAAGTGCAATGCACCAATTGTCAACCATACCAGGAGCATGTGGCTACAGAGGGCATCCCACAGTGAGGGATGCAGGGTGCTTCAGGCACGGCAGCAAACAACCAGAAGAGGGGCAAAAATGGGAAATCCCTCTGTATGCTCCAGAAGTGGCAAGTAAAATGGTGAGAGTATCTGTGCAAAGAGTAAGGAGGGTTGTTACCGGAAAACTCACCCAGATTGGAGAGAGAGAAGCCCCAGCGACTGGTTTTGCTTCTCCTGTGGGGTCCCTGCCACTACATCTGCAGTTCTTAGCCACTGGAAATCTGTAACAAGCAGGGTGTGGTGTAGACCTCCCCATGCTTGCTAATTTCTAGATGCTGCATCAATTGTATGGGACTGCTAGGAACTAGTATAATTTATGTAAATTACACAGATGGGCTGCTTTATCTTGCAACCATGTACGCATGTTTTTTTTTCAGTGACTTGCAACATGGTTGATTTTTTTTTTCCTATATTAACTCATCTGCCTTGACACACCCTCCTTTTTAATTAACAACACAGTTTTTTAAACTACAGAGTTCTTCCAGCTCCTCTCTCATGTGTGATAAGACAATACAGAATAACTCAAGCTTAATGTAAAGAGTCTCACTTCTACCAGTATACGTCACTTTTTCATTTTAAACAACCTCAGTTTTAGAGGTTTAGCAATGCTGGTCTGGAAATAGCTTTAAGAAAACATGCTTTATTTAAAAACCAAAAAGCTAGTATCTTCACGAAAGTGTTGTAGCTATTTTTTCTTATACAGTAAATCATATTTAACAAGGATAAGGCAATATCTGTGCTTTTCATAGTGGCCATGATCTTCACTAACAGGTATTCAGTCCAAAACACCCTTTTCTCCACAAAAATAACTGGAAGAAGAAATCAACACCTGGACTCCCACCCACAGCCTGCCCTCCCCTATTGTCCTAAGCACGAATATATGCACACGTTTCCTGTGTCCCCAAATGAACAGATGATGAAACTGTCTTGGAAGGTCACATAAGGAGAATTCTGCAGGGGTTGCCCCATGCATGGGCCCCACAGCAGGAATGCCGCTACAATGGGGCTGGAAGGAGGTGCTGTGGGATAGTCAGCCCCCATGCAGGCACTGCTGACATGGACCACCTCAAACCAAGTGCAGTCATGCAGGTCCTCAGAAGGCTATAAACCCTTAGAGCAGTTCAATGTTGCACACAAGGTACAAAGTAGATGAAGGAGAGAAGCTGCCTATTTCCACCAGCGGAAAGTAGAGATCAACCCAAGTGGGCCGTTCATTTGGAACAGTAATTCAAACAATTATCACAAAAGTGATTCATTGTCTTCATTACAGCCTTAAGCTATAAAAGGCAAGGAACCTGTTTTGGTAGATGAATGATTTTTCTCCAAATACTAACAGGTAAGTCAGGCTCAAAATTTGGTCCAAACTGAGGCACCATTTCTTCATTCTGCTGAAAACTATGTAGAAGTTTTCTGACGTAAAATGTTCACAATTATGTTAATAGGTTTAATAAATAGTTTTAAAAAGGGACATCATAGAAAGATAAAAGGTATTATAGAATTAATATGTCCCAGTGATTACTACAACAAGCAAACAATTGTCATAACAACTATTTGCTAATATGAATCAAAATCAGGGTCCCAAAGTTAGAGAAATATATGAATTCATGAAATTATAGCATTCTTCTTGGAATGCAGTGATAGTTATAGAAGCCTTTTTCTTTAAATATACATTAGCCAGAGCAAGAAAAAAATACATACATTAAAGAAACCAGTCCATCACAGTTCCAGGAACAAGTTTTTTAAACAATTATTCTGGGCTGTAGAAGATCTCTAGATTTACAGAATGACAGCTTTACATCTCTGGCAAACCAAGTCAGTTTGGCTGTTTCAATAGCAAATATTTATTTAAATGAATTCTTTCACTATATATGTACTTTCTACATCTACTCATCAAAAGCATCCTAAACTTATCATGAAGGGGCCTGGCTTCTTATATGACTGTGACAGACCTCAACTTGACACATAATGGTATGTTATGTATCTACCATCATGGCAATTTTTTTTTTTAATTTTTTTTTTGCTTACCCATCATATCTTTTGCCTTCTTGAAATGTTTATACCACCTTCCAAATTCCTGACATTTTGCTGCTGAGACATTTGCATAGTAAGTGCTGTTCACAATGGAAGAAATCATACTCTGCGTGAAAAGGGGAGAAGAAAAAAAATAATCTGTAATATAGAGCAGTACAAGTCAAAGCACAAATTATTTCAATTGTTGAAACCATTATATTTTTAGAGTTTGAGAATCATATTGCATTTTGATCCTGTTGTCCAAAGCCTTTTAAAAAACTCATTAATTGAGCATAAAACCAAACCAAGGTTTATTATAAATGAGAGCAAAAAAAGCAGATGTACTACGGGAAGAACAAAGTTATCGACCAAGAAACATCAGGCCATGGGATGGGCTCTGGATGGAAAATGCTAATCATGAAAGTGCCTTTTGTTTGTGCTATTTCTGCTTTTAAATTTGATTGACCCTTCACGTACCAACACAAGTTTACAGGCATACAATTGCTACACTGAGTCCAGGTATGTAATGATGCCCAAGGAATCCATGTCCATTCCCTTTGTGCCACTTACATACAGAGCAGAAGCTGGAAAATCACAGGACCAAAGTTTATCTGAATGTGTTATTGGTAGGGTAAAACAAAATGATTTCTGGAAGGATAAAATACACACGTAACTACCTAAATCAAACCCAGACTTGCTTTTCCTAAAGAGGGCATTTTAAGTGATTCACAGAAAGAGGCGTATGAAACTCTCATTGTCATGTCTAATTCTGTAAGTGAATATTAGCTATAAAATAGACTAAAGGATGATAGAGATTTTTTTTTCCTCAAAGGTTCTCGAGATATCAAATAGCTACAGTGAGAAATTTACCTTCTGCTCAGTTTTAACCAATTTTAAAACAGTAGAATTTACAATGCCTAAAACTTTCAGTTCCAGTACATTCTTTTTAAAAAAATCAATTAAAACCAAGCCTTTCAAAATGAGGTGCTGTTCCAACATGGAAATTATATTTGGTTTATGATACATTAATAACAAAATTAGCAAATGTTATTCCAATAGACCGAACTTTGCCACCCTTTAGATTTCTATGAGGAAAGTAGATTCTTTTAGCTTAACTAGAGGAATCATCCAACATATTGAGAAAACAATGACATTCAAAAAGACAAAGCTTTGATTATTTTGTTTCTTTGCTATTCAGCATGTAACATTTAGCTATATTTGTGCTGTCATAAAATCAATGTACAGCATGAACTCTTTGTTAAAAAAATTACAATAACCACTAGAAGAAACAGTTTGGAGTAAAAATACAATAAATATTACTCTAAGTCTTCTCTTATAAGGCTAGTTCAGCTTCTGATTCAAAGGACCTTGATTATTGATCTTAGTGAAGTTCATTATAACCATTTGTTTTCTAACATTACTCAGTAACACGCTATTTGTAGAGTCTCAAAATTGCTGGAGTGAGGCGGTACTACTTACGCCAAATGTAGATACCCTTTACCCATCAGGTAGCTATTTTAGTGTTTCTCTGAATCACCAAAATTCTCACCATTCCTTGATATTAATCTGGCACTTCTGAAATTAACTATAAGCATTTTGCAAGTGATATAAAAGGAGATTGAAATCTTAATAGACTACTGCAACTTTAGCCTGAATGACCTGAACCAAGTTCAGCTGAACCCAATTTCAATTTCTAACATAATAGCAGTATCATTAACGTCTACAACTTATAAAATTATTGTTTAAGCTCTTTTACAGATTAAACCACTTAAAACATGGGCACACGATATAAATTGTGTGATTAAAAAAAGCTTCTGTAGACCTGAACTGACAAATTATATGAATGTATAGTTACTGTATATGCAAAACTTGCAGATCTGCATGTGCAAAATGGGGAACTGCAACTTTAATATGCCACTTTCCCATATCTGCACGTATTTTGTGGATGGCGTTTAGACTTCATGGTGTTTTTCATTTATTTTATTTTGTCTATCTCAGATGTCTTCTCCTGCCCAAGTTACTTTATTAAGCACGAAAACTTGTAGATGGATAATAATTGTAATAAATTACCTATTACCAATGAATATGATTATCTAAGATTTTGTATTCCATCCCTCCATGTCATTTTACAAAAATATGCCAATGACATGGCAGTTTGTGATATCCCCTGCTTCTTCAGAAACAAATATAATGCAATTAATTTGTTTTACAACCAAATAGGGGACTAGTCTGTTTAAGTAACAGTGCTAGGAATTTCAGCTTCTTTGACACAATGTGAATCTGCTACTCTGATGGCTAAATAGCGGGATTTTATTCTAAATCTTCAAAGTAGATAAAAAATATCAGACATTACCTACACATTTTAAAATGAAAATGATCTTGGTTTTTCTTTGAGAACACTCGTGCAAACTTTCAAGCGATATTACATACACTAAAAATCCTCATCAGGAAGAATCAATGATTTATTTACTAATTCACTGAAGGCAAAATTTTACAAGCCAGATAAAATATTACTACCTTGTTAACTCAGAAAATAACTTGACAACATTGCATTTCATTGTTTCTATTCCTTATATATTATCTTGTCATCAAATCTTCAGTCACATCAGTGCAGAGAGATGCACTTTGCTATAGAAATTCCTATAGAATTCTTGTTGCTGTGTAATTCTTACACGTTTTAGTGATAGTCTATCTATACAGATGCCCACTATGCTTAGGGACTAAAACTGAATACAAAACCCTCCAAGTTAATGGTCTTCAGAGATTTACACTCCAGACTAGAGGTACATTGTTTAACAAGTTTTTCTTATTTCCCTGGTCACTACATGTGAGGAACTCCCAATGTCTGGCTTTAGGCTTATCAGTAATCAAAGTGGGAATGATTGTATTTGAAGCATACTCTGGTACTACTGTACATAGGTATTGCTTATCTCTGAGCCACAGAGGAAGATACTTTCCATGTACAAGGATGACGAATATAAATGCATCACACAAATATCAGGCGTATTCAAATGCATCACATTTATCACTCATAATTTCATTACTTTTTCACACGTCGCCAAGAAAATTGATAGAATGCAAAAACTGGTCACAGATCCACAGGCTTAACACATCTCCTAGAAGTTTACCCTTGAAAGCAAGTTGCAAGACTTCAAGATCACAAATTTCCCTCTCTCGCCTCCCTCCATCGCTCCCCCCAGACACGGCGCTTACAGTCCTGCTCTGAGAATCAGAAGATCTAGTCTGAAATGGTGCCACCTTCACAGAAATCCCACTATTCTGGAATGATACCATCTGCTGCAGCCCAAGTGCTCTTTTTTTAGCCAAATAAGTTAATTATAATTAGGCATCCAACAACTGTGTGGAGGTAGGGGTAGAATTCACTGTGAAGTTCAGCTGAGGTTCATTCCATGTAGCTTGAACCAAATCCCATTCTTTCGGGGATATTAAATATCAGAGAATTGAAAACTAGGCACCGTAATTTCTCAAATAAGTTGGGGAACTCTCTGGGGAAAGACCTTAAATCTCAGCCAGAATTGCTTTCATACACCCATCAAGTAAAAACTGATAAAACAGCAGTATCAGACACTTTTTGTGTTGTGTCAGAAACTAATGCGAGGTGTGTCCTGCAAGCCAAGGCAAGGACCCATGCCTTTCATGCTGGCCAGTTGCTTCAGCCACCAGCACAGGTGCTACCAGGGAAGCATTTGTGAGTCATTTCCCCTAGTACTGCTCTCAGACCAGGTGAAGCATTGTTCAATCATTGCTAAAAGTATACTGTTGTCCTTTTTGCAAAACAACAAAAACAATGTTAATCAGGTTAATTCAATCATCTAAACCAAAACTGTTCATGCTTTTCTGCCAAATCAACCAACCACAGCAAAATCTGTTATCAGTGATTGCTCAGCTTCCAGTCAAAAAAGCTTTTAACCCCCACAGTCCCAAAACTTCCCCCTAAATAACCTTAAAATTATTTTTATATGGGCAGAATGAGGTTGTTTTCATGCCTCATGAAGGGGTAGTTGGGCTGCAGTATTTACACAAAACAAATACGTGGTAACTGAGTTAGCAGAGAGGAACAGGCACAGCAGCTTCCTAAAACAACACGGCTGAATTAGATATTGGGGATTCCTGTGCAAATGAAGCATTCCCCTCAAAAGCAGCATTGTAACCCAAACTTATTTAGGCCTTCCAGGATGTTTAACTATGAGGAGGGAAAAAAAAATCCAAGCGTTTCTGCAACTCATTCATCGGTGTTTAAAGCTTCAAGCCTGCTCAGTGGAAGGGGCAAGGGCTGCAACAACTTATTTACACAATTATCTAAATACGATTAAACAGCTGATGGACAAATATTAAACTGGAAAATGTATAGTCATTTCAGCTTAATGTAATCCTCTTTCTGTAAACACCCAAGATGATTTTTTTTCAACCAGAACAGTCCTGACATCTCATAAGCCTAAGGGTGAATAGCAAGAGATTGTTTTTGATAGTTATAAATATTCAAAAGACATGCAGACCATCTGCTTTCATAATACAGGTAAAGCAAGACTGAAATGGTGACTGCTGTATAAAAATGGTTCTTTTAACAAAGTCTTCCTCTCCTCGAAAACTATAAAGACAGATGTCAAAAACTGTTTACACAGGGTAATCAGGAGCGTGCAAAATGTAATATTCCTTTTACACACAGTGCTTGCTAAAGAGATTTTTTTTTCTTTTTCTTCCCATCTGTGTGTTGCAACACATTTCTACAAGTTAAAAACATTTTTTCAAACAGAGATCTCATGAATACCCAAAAACATGCTATCTGGTTTCTGAATGCTAATTAATTTCAACTAAGGAATCTGATTTTTTTTTTTTTTCCTGTAGGAAGGAATGCATGCTTTTGAAATGGAGCACTTCAACAATAACAGCCACTGAAAACAGAACACCCCACAAGTTTAATTTTGCACGAGTTTGACACTGGCTATTTTCACAACTGTTTTGCATTCAAACCCGCATCTGCTAAATCTGGCTATAAGACAGGCAGGAGCTGTTCTCCTGCTTTTCAAATGAGATTTTATTTATGTTTTACTATTTATCAAGTTTTTCAGCATAAAGCCTTGTAACATCATAATGGTTTTGTCAAGT